CCCACTCCCTCCCGCTCCTCTCACTTCCCTCTCACACCTCGACCCCAGTCACGTCCCTCCCTCTCTCACACACTCCCACCCACTCCTTCCCTTACGCTCCCCCACCCATTCCCTCCCTCACCCCCTCCACCCATTCTTTACTTCACGCTCTCCAACCCACTCTCTCCCTCACGTCCCCCCACCTTCCCTCACCCCCACCACCCCCCCCCCAGGTCAAACGTTTACGGCATGACAGTGTAAACACTTCCTCCCCCTCCTATTTTTTCCTCCTTTCTACACTGTGTTCTCTCTCTGTCTTCTTGTCTACCTTTTCAGTTTCATTCAGATTTAACTTTTTCTTTATAGATCTTTTCCCCTTGTTTCTCTTTCTTAATTCCACTCCTTTCTTTCTCACTAATCTTTATCTGGATGTTCCCCTCTCACCCTATTTGCCGTATTCTCTCTCTCTCTCTCTCTCTCTGTCTTCACCACCCACCACCACGCCCCACAGTCCTGAACCATGGCAGACACCCATTACACCTGGGACTGGGTGTAGCGTCCCCTTGAGGGTTAACTGTCGCACCTTGAGACAGTCGAGGTGAACCAGTCATCCGCCCTCACACCACCACCAGTCACGTACCACGCCTTATTTTTTCCCTTTATTCATCTTCTTCCTTTAAAACGCCACATAAACAGAGGATAGATAGATAAATATATAGATAGATAGATATTCTGTAAAATCTCTAACAAATTTACACTGATTCATTGTGTACATAGACATTGCTGGTATACAATGGATATAATCACACAAAATAAGACCTTTCATCCACGTGTTTTTAAATGTCCGCTATTCTATATGAAGTTGTTTTCTTTTATGGCGATGGTTTGAAATTGTAGCCAAAACTAAATCCATCACTACACTATTCATACGCCTGGCAACAACTCCTCCTGGCGTTGTTACTCTGAAGTCGATGTTTCGGTGAGCGAAGGAGTCAGTCGGTCATAATTGGTATTCATTGATCTAGCTGATACAACCTCACAGTAAGATATGATTTTGGTGGTTTATAATAAAATTTGATCCACTTAAAGGAATTTGATCCTCTTATCCCCAATTGGCCGGATAAGAAATTATTTTATCACCGTATACGACCATGACTGAGACTATAAACATTGGAGTCGCCCTTTGTGAAGTTCCCTCGTTTTTTCTTGGTTATTCTTAAAAAAAATACTAGAAATGGTGAATAAAACTTAAATGAACATAGGAACACCATTTAATATTCCAGCCGGGTGACAGTCATACAGTACGTCTTAACTATGGGTGTGTACTGATTATATGTCAAACCAGACAATCGAATAAAACTTTATATTATATCAAAATTTGAATATTTTGCGTCAAGTTCAATATCTCATAACCCGTCAAAGGAGTAATAGTAATAATTAAAATAAAAATAAAAATAATGAATATGTGATCAAATACAGAAAAAAGTTGCTTCATGAATATTTTTTCCCGAGCATTTACCAAGAAGAAAGAATGATAAGTAGATAGGATATATTCATCATTCTGTTCCGTGGACCGTGGAGTGTTCAAGGTCTTTATTTACAAGTTTCCTGTGACCGATATGAACACTTATTTTCCAGTTTACAAACACGTCTCTAAATAAACACAGGTAAATCAGCATCAATATAAAAATCCTAAAATTGGCATTCACTGTCCTTTATATCTTTTAGCGTATATAATGAAGCTTACAGTCGATATTACAGTCCAATACTAAATATACAATGCCCCCAAAAAATCGTCTAACAACTCGACACCAGAGCTTCTTGGATAACAGTAGCTAGACTCGGCTCTGACAAACGGCTCGGCTAGGTAGGTCGGTTTGGTTAGCCCTTCACTTTTTCCTGTGTCTTGAGTAACTGATCTCCGCTGTGTAACCTTTCAATAGTTCCTTTTTTTATGTTATTTGCAGTTTAACCAGGTACGTGTGTGTGTGTGTGTGTGTGTGTGTGCTTTTGAGTGTTTGCATAATAATAAAAATAATAATGAAAAGGCTAAGGTCCTATAACAATAATACCGATAATAATGAATAAGAAACGCAACAATAACACTTAACCACAAAGACAGTAATGAACAAATAACACTTGACGCAACACTTGTAGACGGTATTGAGAGAAGGGTGAGAGGCTACTGTATATACACTAACAACAATAACATCAAAATAAACAAGAATAAAGGCAATACCAACATCCCCGGTTTGTTTAGCACATGAAGGCACACAATAACAAAAGGATCATAACTCACCACAAGTATTTATAGAGGAAACTCACTCATCCAGCTCCATATTGACATGCATGATCATCCGGCGGTGTGTGGCAACTGCTGAGCTGTCTGCCACATACCGCGCTGGTAATTATTGTGGTGTGACATTTGATATTTACAAGAGGTATTTCTCGATACAGTTTTGATACAAGGTTAAGAATCCTACAGTCGGGAAGTTGTTAGTTCATGAAAAGTTTATAAACTACATGACAACGAAGACTCTGTCGATTTTAATTTGGTATTTGAGTTATATTGGATGGAAATTTTTCTTACGATATCCTCACAAAAATGGAAAGCCTACTGCTAGGGTGGTTACAGTTATGAACACCACGTAGTATACATAATAACAATGGCTCTCTCACTTAACCCCCGAAAGGATATTTTGGGGGATCTGTGTTTGATATTTAGGGCGGTATATATTGATACAGGTCAGTAACGCTGCTGTTATGGAGGGAAGATTTTAGCATCGTAACTATTAAGGAAAATCGTCATAGTTTACGTTGATTTGGCATGTATACATAGACAGTACAGGTATACAAACAATACACATAGACAGAACAGGTATATAATGTACGTAGACAGTGCAGGTATACAAACAATAGCAAACAATAAATTAATCGGCCATGGACAGCCTAACAAAAATACACTTCAACTCTACCTCACACTATCCTCGTTACTTGTCTATTGATTTTAATAGAATATCTACACACATTTCATACTTTCTTTGCAATTACGACAGCATTTCTTCTTCTCCTTCTAATAATAATAATAATAATAATAATAATAACAGTTACAGTAAGCGAAGCGCGTGCAAGGTCTGAGCGTTGAGGAACTATGAATGACAACAGCGGCTTTTAATTCATACTAACTAGAGACATGACATTCACTACGCTGTGATGGCATTTCCTGTTATTTCATATAGAGTTAGATTGAGTTACTGCCACGGATTCGTTTTAGGGTTTTAATACTTAATGTGTGTTTAATCTGTAGGTAAATTAAGCTGGGGTGTCTAATGTTCGCGTGATTGCCTATTTTATCGATATTAGAAGGTTAGGAAGCTTATTTCCCATACATTTCACGGTTAGGAAGCTTATTTATCATACATTTCAAGGTTAGGAAGCTTATTAATCATACATTTCAAGGTTAGGAAGCCTAGTATTGAGGATGCATCGTCTAAGAATATGGGACACGTAAGAATAAGAGGGCGTGGCTCACCTACACCTGGCGGCAGTATTTAACTCGACACCTGATATTTATAAAGGCATTTCAAGGTACAGTTTTAATGCAAGGTCAGAAAGGATGCACTACTGTTATGGATGGGTTAAGAAAGTTAGGTAAATATTACAACAGGTTGAGGTGAATGTTCAGGTAAAGCGATAGGGTGATGTGTTATGGTGCCTATTGAGGGGAGAAAGAGCGATAGGATGATGTGTTATGGTGCCTATTGAGGGGAGAAAGCGATAGGATGATGTGTTATGGTGCCTATTGAGGGAAGAAAGCGATAGGATGATGTGTTATGGTGCCTATTGAGGGGAGAAAATATAGTTTTCATTGGCGGAGGGAGGAGAGGAGCAGGAGGTGAAGAAGGAAGAGAAGAAAGAGGAGGAGGTGAAGAAGGAAGAGAAGGGAGGAGGGAGAGAAGATAGGCGCTTTGGTGATGAAGGTTTTGTTGTGGAGAGAGAGAGAGAGAGAGAGAGAGAGAGAGAGAGAGAGAGAGAGAGATATGCAGAAGGAATGAATGAGACAATGGAGAGAAAAGTGTGTGTGTGTGTGTGTGTGTGTGTGTGTGTGTGTGTGTGTGTGTGTGTGTGTGTGGTGCATTGAACCGGACCCATCCTGTGCTATGGGCCAGGTGAGGTGCTGGGTGGGTGAGGGGTGTGGGTGGGTGAGGGTGCTTGCAGTGGGTGAGGGTGGGCAGGTGAGAATTATGGGTGAGTGAGGGATTATAGGTAGGTGAGAATTATGGGTGAGTGAGGAATTATGGTAGGTGAGGAATTATGGGTAGGTGAGGAATTATGGGTAGGTGAGGAATTATGGGTAGGTGAGGAATTATGGGTAGGTGAGGAATTATGGGTAGGTGAGGAATTATGGGTAGGTGAGGAATTATGGGTAGGTGAGGAATTATGGATAGGTGAGGAATTATGGGTAGGTGAGGAATTATGGGTAGGTGAGGAATTATGGGTAGGTGAGGAATTACTGATAGGTGAGGAATTGAAGGTTAGGTAGTCCAATGTTCCCACCTGAAGATTAGGCACCCCGGTTTAACCCACCTGAAATTTAAGTTCCTAACACTACCCGGGGTGCCTAATCTTCATGTGATCCCAAAATTAATGCACATTAAAGTTAGGTTATAAAAGTAATATGGTTACAAAACTACAAAAGAATGCATAATAAGTTAATTACTGTACATACAATTACATTTGATATTGTAAAGTAATGCGTACAATAAGAGCTCGGGAGGTACCCAGGGTGTCTTGTCTTTGGTGTTCATAGTACGTAATAAGGGAAGGAACATCTGGGTAACGAAACCTCCGTCAGCCAAAGGGTTAAGTAACACTATTGTAAAGGAGCTTTTCTAAGGAGCATACGGGTAAGGGGAATATCTAAGCCTTAGATATTCCCCTGACTCGTTCCTTAGATTCTAAGGAACGGTGAGCTAAATGTAAACAGTTCACCGTGACACCGAGTTAAGACAGACACTCACGTTGACTTTGTAGGAATACGAAGGCATGATGACGGAGTGTTGACTGTCCTGTTCAGGTGCCCATGTGAAGCTCCGGACCCCACACTGATTATATATATTATTAAGTTCCTACAGCGTCTATGGTCACGGGCTAATGCACTACCCTCTCTACACACATATATACACAGGGTAACACTCTCTACACCTCGAGGTCACGATTCACAGAGTAAAAAAGGGTTAGTTAGTGATGAAGGGAGGGGGGGAGGAGAGGTGATACGAGCGTGTACACCTAACAACGGCCGGGGGAACACTGAGCCCTGTCGGGATTCGGACGCACGGACTAGATGGAGATAGTTACATTCTCTCTCTCTCTCTCTCGCTCTCTATGTTGGACGCACCCACACACCTACACACACGCACCCTCCCTCCCCCCACCCACATGCATACCTATTTTGTCCATGGTAAATATTCCCTTTTTTAAACACACATTCTACTCGCGTCTCTGCCACCTACACACACCCACATGCTCTCACATTTTCCCACCCACACAACTTTTCCTACCCAACCCACCCATTTCCTTGTCGCCCACACACTCACACTCTCCCACACACATAAGCTGCCACCCATATGACCTTTCCACCCAACCCACCCATCTTTCTGCCACCCACACAGTCTTTCTACCCATTTTTTCTGCCACCCACACAACCTTTCTACCCAACCCACCCATTTTCTGCCACCCGCACACCTTCCCACCACCCTTCCACCTGCATATCAACCCACCCACACAAACTATCATTATGTGCACCTAAGGCCAAGTGCACAGACTATCACCCTGTGCACTTAAAAGGCCTGACAATACTAAATACTTTCCCACGTTCCACTAATTTGGCAAAGTTAACAATCGGTGAGAATTTTCAAAATGTAAAAAAAAAAATAATAAAAGTAATAAAAAAAATAAAAAAAAATAAAAAATATTCACTCACTGTCCATCATTTGTGACACATTTCAAAGACGTGTTAATGAATGAAAGTTGTAATAATAACTATGTCAATTGGAAGAGAAAGTTAAAAATAGAAAGCGGAGGTAAAAATTGAAATGAACACGAGACATATCGATGAATATGTCAGTATTTTCCCGCCGCTTGTTGAAGATTGTGGCTGACTCATGCTGACGGTGAGTTGTTTGTTTACCTCGTGTACAATATTACTGGAACCCCGAAGGACATTCATAGAGAAATCTAAAATCACTTGAAGATTATTACCCCTCCCCCCTCCCCTCTCCCCCAAGCTTATTTCACCTGATGATTAAATATTCTAACGCTACTTGGGAGTGGTTAGGTTAGGTTAGGTTAAGTTTGGGTTAGGTTAGGATAGGCTAGGTTAAGTTAGGTTAGGCTAGGTAAGATCAGATTAGACTAGGTTAGATTAGATTAAATTAAGTTGGATTAGGTTAGGTTATACTGTATTACGTTAGGCTCTAGGTTAGGTCAGATTAGACAAGGTTAGATTAGTTTAAGCTAGATTAGGTTATGTTGAAGTAATTAATCTTAAAGTGAAATATGATGATGGGGTGGGGGGACTACAGTATATCTTCCTACGATAAGAAATGAGTCACAAACAAACAAACAAACAAAATAAAAACAAATATAGTAAACGAAATGTAACGAGAGAGAGAGAGAGAGAGAGAGAGAGAGAGAGAGAGAGAGGAATGCGAAGTGAAAGGGAAATGACACTAAAGCTGTAACTGGAGGAGAAATAAAAAAATATATATATGATGTGGAAAAAAAAATGCCTCAAAGCATGATTGTGTGGAACCTTGTGAGTATATTGTGTGGTTGAGCTGATGAGACAGAGAGAGAGAGAGAGTTTATAAGAGGGAGAAAGAGAGAAAGGGGTGGAGTGTGTGTGTGAGGGGAAATGATGAGAGAGAGAGAGAGAGAGAGAGAGAGAGAGAGCATGTGTATGAGATTGAGTGAGAGAAAGAGAAAATGATGGTGAGTGAGTGAGTGAGAAATACAACTTGTTGACAAAAGAACACAAACACAGGAATCCATTAACTAGCAAATTCTCTGATGTATAGAGGGTGTAAGGTTAGGTTAGGTTATGTAAAGTTAGGTTACGTTAGGTTAGGTTAAATTAAGTTAGCTTTGATTAGGTTAGGTTCATTGTGATCACGTAAAGATTAGCCCCCACTTCACGCAATGATTTAACACCCCGTAGTTACCTAAGGGATTTTTAAATTAGGTTAATATAAAGGTGCTTAATCTCCAGGTGAAATAAGCTAGAGTGTCTAAACTTCAGGTGATCAGATCAGCCATATAGAACTTAAAACATCGTGAGAATCAGAACAGAGCCCTGTGGTACTCCAGGCATTATGAGACGGTAAAAACATTGGCTCCCTCTGATAACCCAATAACCGCCATTCCTGATCTGACTGATACCCTTTTAAGTGGGATACCCATTTAAGTGGGATACCCTTTTAAGTAGGATACCCTTTTAAGTGGGATACCCTTTTAAGTAGGGCCTCATGCACTTTATGACCGCTTTAAGACAATAGTGTAAATGTGGGTTTAGTATACAGTATGACGCTGACTAACCAGTGATGGCGTGAGGTAGTGGCGTCTTGGGGGGACTTACCTGTAAAGAGAGAAAATGTGTGTGATTATTTTGACTATACACACGTCCACACACACACACACACACACACACACACACACACACACACACACACACACACACACACAAGACTTAGCGTTAATAACAAAACAAATAAATCTCAGCGGCCAGAACAGAATTTATAATATATTTATAACCGACCATAAAAAATTACACAATAAAAACATTAAGGTATTCATATAAGCTATTAGCATAAAGAAATGTTCGTTTGTATTCAGTATATTTGTATGTATGTATTTGGCGACCACGTTATCGTGTTATCATTATGTTTACATCATTATTTAACACGTCATAATGCCATCACGTCATTATGTTCAAATATCATCATGTAAACAGGTCAATGACATCATCACATTGCCAGGTTAATGACATCAGCACATCGCCAGGTCAATGACATCATCTCGTCGTAACGTCACCACCACCTCATGTCCACTCCCAGCTATGTAAACATCACCATCGTTACCGCACCGCATCGCATCACTCTGATAACCGCATTAACACAGCATCGTTACCGCGGCCTTCAACACATTGACGTGGTAGGAGGGAGGGAGGGGGTCAAGTGTAGAAGAGGTACAGGAATACAGGAATTACATAATACAGTTTTACAAGAGTTTGGGATTTTACATGTAGGTACAAGTTAACTCTTTGGGGACGAAAGGGTTAAACCATCGTCTTCAAAGGGGTAAACCATCCTCTTCAAAGGGTTAAACCATAGTCTTCAAAGGGTTAAACCATCAAATCTCTTCAAAGGGGTAAACCATCCTCTTCAAAGGGTTAAACCATTCTTCAAAGGGGGTAAACCATCCTCTTAAAGAGTAAACCATCCTCTCAACCATCCTCTTCAAAAGGTTAAACCATCCTCTTCAAAGGGTCCTCTTCAAAGGGGGGTAACCATCCTCTTCAAAGGTTAACCATCCTCTTCAAAGGGTAAGCCATCCTCTTCAAAGGGTAAACCATCGTCTTCAAAGGGGTAAACCATCGTCTTCAAAGGGGTAAACCATCCTCTTCAAAGGGTTAAACCATAGTCTTCAAAGGGTTAAACCGTCAGGAACTACACTATGGAGAGCTCTGACTGTTGTGGATTAGTGCAAGGTAATGATGATGATGATGATATGATGATGATGATGGTGGTGGTGATGATGATGATGGTGATAATAATGATGATGATGATGATGATGAAGGTCGTGGTGATGGTGGTGATGGTGGTGATGATGGTGATAATAATGATGATGATGATGACGATGACAATGATAATGGTAATTCTAATTCTGAAGCTAATGAAATATGGAGGCCAAGGAGTTAGGCCTCTCGGTGCATGGAGGCCACGGTAGCGGCCTCCAGGTGGGTTGAGGTAGAGGTGTGAGGGAAAGCAAGACTATTGAAGCAGACAGAGAGACGTACAGACAGCTGACCACTATACTACTGCCACCTGATGTTGTTTACACACATACACACACACACACACTCTGTCACTTTCTCCTCATTTTCTACCGCCTTGACCACCTTACTTTCCCCATCAGTCATTTCTCCATCACTTTCTTTTATCTTTTTATTTTCAGTTGAGTAAAATTATTAGTTTTTTGCTTTCTTTTTTTTATCTCACTTTCTTTAATTTTCATCTTCGTTAAATTATTCGGTTTCTTTACTTTCTTTTCTACTTTCTTCCTACTTGTTATAACTACCTCATCTTCCTCTCTCTCTCTCCCCTTTCTCCACAACCTTGGACTCATATTCCTCCTCACTTTCTTCTCTGACTCTCTCCTCATTTTCTCCCAGCACACAACCCCTGCGCAGTTTCTTCCCACTTTCCTACTTCTTTTTCTTCTCATTTTCCTCCCTCTCTTTCTTTCCTCTATTCCTCGCTTTCTTTACTCCCCCTCTATTTCTCTTCCTCATTTTCTCCTCTTCTCCCTTCCCTCCCTCACTTTATTCTGTCTCCCCTCACTTTCTTTCTTCCTTTCCTCAATTTCTTTCCTCTCTCCCTCACACTCTCTCTTTCTCCCCTTCCTCCCTCACTTTCTTTACTCCCTCACCAATTCACTGTCACCTTTACGATCTCACTATCACCACACACTCACCATCATCACACCCTCATCACCACACACTCACCATCATCATCACACCCTCATCACCACACACTCACCATCATCACACACACACACCACCCTCATCACCACCACCTCCCATCATCACCACACACTCATCATCATCCACCCTCATCACCACACACTCCACCACATCATCCACCCTCATCACCACACATCACTCATCATCACACACACTCCACCATCACACCATCACCACACACACTCTCACCATCATCACCACACCCTCATCACCACACTCACACACCACACCCTCATCACCCACCTCACCATCATCACACCCTCATCACCACACCCACCCTCACCATCATCATCACACCCTCATCACCACACACTCACCATCATCACACCCTCATCACCACACACTCACCCTCATCACCACACACTCACCATCATCATCACACCCTCATCACCACACACTCACCATCATCATCAGACCCTCATCACCACACACTCACCATCATCACCACACCCTCACCACCACACATCACCATCCCCATCTTACACCATTTTCACCAAGTAACCGACCGTCCCATGC